TTTTCTTAATAGTATCTTTTGAAGAGCACACATTTAAAAGTCTTTGAGAAAATCCAAGTTACCAACTTTTTTTTTTCTTTTTTCTAGTCCTGGGGCTTGAACTCAGGGCTTGTCCCTGAGCTTCTTTTGCTCAAGGCTAACACTCTACCACTTGAGCCACAGCACCACTTCCCCAACTTTTGATTATTTGAACTTTTTTATCCTAAGAAATTGCTTATCACAAAGTTTGAAGATTATTTTCTAATTGAATAATATGTGTTTTGTTTGTTTTATTTTGTACCCCATAAAATGAAGTGCTATAAAGTGGTACAATATACTAGATAAAACTTGAATAAACCAACTGGTTTTGTTCACATTTTAACTAGTCTACATTTTATTTGTTTGCTGATCGTTTCTGAACAGAGACAGTATAGCACAATTGTTAAGAAAAAAGATATGAAAACTGGTGACCTGGAAGTGAAATTGGCAACTTAGGCTAAGTTCCTTAACTTCTCTCAGCCTGTTTCCTCACAATTATCAATTGAAGAGATACTTTTGTGATACTTCATACAAAGCCTCTGCCCGGGCGCCTGTGGCCCCTGCCCATAATCCTAGCTACTCAAGAGGCTGAGATCTGAGGATCATGGTTCAAAGCCAGACTGGGCAAGAAAAGCGGTGAAACTCTTATCTCCAATAAACCATCAGAAAACTGGAAGTAGCACTGTGGCTCAAGTGGTAGAGTGCTAGCCTTGAGCTGAAGAGCTGAGGGACAGTGCTCAGGCCCAGAGTTAAAGCCCCATGACTACCAAAAAAAAAAAAAAGCCCCTGACCTGGGTGTATGGATAAGGTTTAATATAATTTATATATTTAAACATATAATTTATATAATTTAATATACTAATTATTATTGTAATTTGAAGCTGCCAGTGCCAACTTAGCCAAGAGGCTTACAGTGAGTAGAATTTATAATATAATCAGCAGTTAAAAAGTATTACTATGATTATTATTTAATTGTTATAGGAGCATTTCTCAAGTAGTAATGAGCCACACATTTCACAGTTGGCAATATGTTTCCTAACAAAAATTTGGGGGTGTTTGTAATTTATTATAGCCATATGTCAGCAGAGTCTTTCCAAATTGCTAAGAATAGAATAACCTTAAATTATTATTATTACCACAAAGGCCTTTCCAAAAAATGTCTTTCTTTGCCAGTACTGCTTTCATTTCATAAAGTTGAGTATGGAAGAGTTTTTGTCAATGTACTGTTTATAGCAGTTTCTTATTGTTCTCATCCATGACATGTCAATCAATCATCAGTTACATGCTAGTTTTAGGACAGAATATATTCTTATTTAAAATTCATAGAAGTTTTGCAGTTCTGATTCAGATTGTGTTCAGACAGGTCAACAACATAGCTAATTTCCCACATTATTTGTATGCCATTTGTAATAAAGTTAGCTTTTTGGATTTAGAATCCTGGACCAAATATTTAATAAGCACGCCAGGCACCAAGCATTGGCTGTATGTAATAAATAAATATTTTAAACAAGCCACTCAAAAAGAGCACTTCTTTGATTTCTTCTGATAATTGCTAAGCCACATGTACCCAAGTTTTATTATATACTTTGTGGTGCCTTTCTGGGCAGATGTAAACACACTAAGATGGAATTTGATGTCAAAAGATTGTGTTGAAGAGGGACTTTCGCCGTCTGGTGCTCATTAACTACTGAGACATCCTGAAAACACAGAATGTCTCAGATCTCACTCTCACTGATCTATCGGCTTCATTCAAACCACACAAGATACATATGATTTGGTTTTGACTATTTGTCAGATAGCAAAGTAGGTGCAGACAACTGCTTACAGGCTTCCTAACTCCTGAGTTATATTTTATTCTTCTATGTTTTCCCGGGGCATTTCTTTTTCAGAGTTAGAACAGCCAGTTCTTGATATAAAACTATTCTGCTCCTTATCACACTTCAAGTGACACGGAATGTCTTTGGGTGTCAGTCTGTACTTCTGCATGTTTCTCTGATTCTTTTAGAATTTTCAAGAGGCCATTCCTGAGGACACCTGGCTGAGGTACAGCTGTATCCAGAGAAGCCCTCAGAAAAAAGAAGCAGGCATCCACTGGCCCAAACAGACACAATAGTACTTAATCAGGAATGTGGTGGCTATGGTTCTGTTAAAGCTCGTTGTCATTGGTGTATTAAATCTTAATTTCACTGTCTTCTATAATTCTATAATGTAGATGTATTGATGGTCACAGAAAGGATGCTCACTTTAGAGTACCACCAGTCTATGTCCATTTGGCAGTACTAGGATCAAATCTAGGGACTCAACCAAATGCTAGGCAAGTGCTTTACCATCAAGCTACATCCCTACTTCCTGCTTCCTGTAATGGGATCTATAGGAGAAGAGATGTCAGGAAGAGAAATCAAACAGAACCTAAGAGCACTGTGTGTGCAGGCACATACAGGCGGGCAATGATGATAAGCAGGAGTGAGAGAAGGGACCACACGCCTCAAATTTTCCCACTCCCCAGTTTTTTCAAGTGCACATGCTGAGTGGGGTGCACAAGCCTTTTTGTTATCACACAGACAGCTTAAAGCTGGTGTTCTCAACATATACTGAACATTAGCATCTTTCAGAAGGTTCTAAATCTACCAAAGTATAAGCCCCACACTGTGTCTCCAGCCAGTTTCATTGACCTGGAATAAAGTTCAGGCATCAGTTTTTTTTATTATTTATTATTTTTAGAAACTCTCCCATTGTTTCTCAAATATCCAGAATCCCCAAGAATGGGGATCCCCACTTCGGTATTTTCTCTTAGGGAGTCTGGGGAAGTCCTCAGAACTTCTGGCAGTAGGAGAAATCCCCACTTGTATTTTGTGGGGACAGAGGAGAAGAGAGGTTGGCCATCACCCTGGAAACTCCCTGGCCCTCAGGACTCTTTCTGGTCTCTTCATGAAGGCAATGGCATGGACAGCCCTTCTGAAGGCTGACTATTGCTCAAGCCCCCTGTCACATTTTTCCAGGACCAAACTTCTCTGAGTGCTTTACAATGCTTTCTCAAGTTAAGATTCCAGACAAATTGGTATGGTTGTGACATGATTTTCTGGTTTGGCATAGATCACAACCTATTTCGTCAGCAGCAAGAAGAGCCTGTGAGATTTTATGGTATGTTTCTTAAACACAATCATAATGCAATTAACTGCTATCGGTATGGGGAAAACATGCAATAATAATCCAGTTTAATATCAGATGAGCAATTCTGAGCCTCTAGATTAGAACTAAAAAACATACAAAAAAACCCAATAAAACCCACCTAATCTTTCTCAAGATCTTGGCAACAGATGATAAACATAGAGCAATTAGAATACTCTTCTAGCATAGTGGAATAATTATACCCATAATACACACCTAAAAAGTGGGACTGCAAATACTTGTCCTTCCCATTAGAAGACTTGTTTACCAAGATTAAATCTGATGGTTTAGGCAAGTATATTTTAGAAACTGTAAATAATTATTCTTTAGAGCTAATGGTCCAGTTGCCACGGTCCAATTGAAATGTGTTCCAACATGGGGATCCGAAGAGAAAATGAATTACTTATTTCCAATTTCTGAAAAGTATAGAAAATAAAAGTGCCTAAATCAACTCACCTCTAAGCCAGTCAATACACAATAAAACTGTTTTGCTTTGATAAAGACTTAATATTTTAACTTTTCAAATATTATTTTATCATGTTATCTATCCTTATAATCACTAAACAGTCAAGAACCCACTTTCAATCATTTTCAACACAAGAGCTTTTTCTAAATCTGTGTTCTCTGCCACTCCAAATTATTTTGAAACAGATTGCAGAATTTTTGATCATTTTATTCATAAAGGTTTTTAATATTAAAACATATTTAAAGATAATTGGTTGTAGAGCTGGGTGCTAGTAGCTCATGCCTGTAAGCCTATGAATTCTGGAGATCTGAGGATTGTGGTTCCAAGCCAGCCTGAGCAGGAAAGTCCTTGAGACTCTTACCTCCAATTAACCACCAAAAACCCAGAAGTGGAGAGCTGTGCCTCAAGTGGTTCACCCTTGAGCAAAAAATCCCAGAGACAGTGCACAGGCTCTGAGTTCAAGCCTAGGGCTGGTACACATACATATATGCACATGCACACACACATGCACATACACACATACACACAGATAATTGGTTATACAGTATAGACAGAGAGACATCTTATACCATGCATACATTCCTATAGCTTATTAGCAGAACTTGAACTTGAAACATGGTTCTAAGACTTCATTCAAAACAACATGAGCCAGTGGCTCGTGCCTCTAATTAGGAGGCTAAAATCTGAAGATTGCAGTTTGAAGCCAGCCTGGACAGGAAAGTCCCTAAGATTCATATTCCTAATTAATCAGCAAAAAGTCAGAAGTAGAGCTGTGGTAGAGTGCCAGCCTTGAGTTCAAAAGCTATGGGATAGCACCTTGGCACTGAGTTCAAGCCCTGGTACTCTGAGGACAAAGCACCTCTGAGGACAAATGGAGAGAGGAATAGTGGGTGAATACATTTATGATACTGTAGAATCCAGAACATGTAAGACTAGGTTCTAGAAAGAAAAAAGTGTTGTATATGGGGAAAAAATCCAATAACAGCCTCTAATAGTTCAAATACTTTTTAAAGCAAGGTCTCATTATGTAGTCTAGACTAGCCTCTAACATTTGATCCTCTTCTTGAGTGCTAGGATTACGGGAGTTACCATGCCCATCTCTGGCTGACATATTTCTCCTCTAGATAATTTCAGACTGCTGTCTTCTTAACTTGACATTGTCTTTTTAAGAGAAGAGTCAAATTTCTGGTCTCAAGTGATCTTCCTGCTTTAGCATCTCAAGTGGCTAGAATTATAGGTACATCACTGTTCCATCTAAACTGCTGGGTTTATTATTATTATTATTAGTGTGGTGTGTGCATCAGTATTTGGGCATGAACTCAGGGCCAGAGTGCTCTTCCTTAGCTTTTTCATTCCAGGCTGATGCTCTCTCTACCTAAGCCATATATTGACTTCTGGCTTTTTGCTAGTTAATTCAAGCTAAGAGGCTCATGGACTCTTCTGTCCAGGTGGCTTTGAACTGAGATCTTCAGATTTTAGTCTCTTGAGTAAGTAACTAGGGGTTTATAGGCATGAGCCACCAGCACCTGACTAAATCTTTCTCCTACTTAGATATCAAAAATGGTTCCCACCTAAATGGTTCCCACCTTCTCTCTCTGGCTCTCATGATTTTTTAAACAATCCCAGAACATTTACTCAGCTTTCCTTTCTACATTTTACTCTCCTAATCTCTCAATCCTACCAGCAGATTCATTCATTGTCCTAAAATTTCATTGCCTTCATTACTATTGTCCCTGACCTGCCATTCCTCCTCCCCATCTTTATCTATTTGTTGCTTCTTTCAAGTGTTGGATCTAGTCATATGACCTTAATCATATGTCCTTGGATTAGTCTAATCCACACTAATTTATGTTTTCTTAGACTACTACACCAGTTATAATTTGCCATCATTTATTTACCACCATGTCACTGTTTTACTTTTGTTAATGGAGGGGGGAGAGAGAGAAGGGAGAAGAGGGGGTTTGGGGGGAGAAGGGAGAAGAAATGAGGAGAGGACAGAAGAGGAGAGGGGAAAGGAGAAAAAAGGTAAAGGGGAGGAGAGAAGAGGGGAGAGGGAAACATAGTTTAAATGTTTTTCTTTTGAAAATTGAATAGCTTAAGGTATAATACTTGCTTAGTAGGCACAAAGCGCTGGATTTGATTCTTAGCAAGGAAGGAAGGAAGGAAGGAAGGAAAGAAGGAAGGAAAGAAGGAAGGAAGGAAGGAAGGGAGGGAGGGAGGGAGGGAGGGACAGAGGGAGGGAGGGAGGGAGAGAGGAAAGGGAAAGATGAAATGAAGGGAAGTAAAAGGAAGGAAAAGAAGAGTGGGGGGAGGGGAGAAGAGGAATGGAAAAGGATCACACACAAAAAAAGCCAATGCTAAAAATTAAAACAAAAGTTACCCATAAGGCTAACTATCATGCATAATCTGAGGAACTCCATCCTTCCAAACCCTGTACATGGTTTAAAAAGGTAAGTATACTCCAGTGTTTCTCAACTAAATGGTCATTGCGTCCAGTGATGTACTTATGAGCTCCACGAGTAGGATGATGGGGAGCTTTGCTGTGGAACCAGGAACTAAATGTTTTAGCAATTGTGAGTGTTGCTTCATCTGTTCCTTTATAGCCCTCCGAGCTCAGCTGTTTTTCAGTAATACTAACACCTGCAGTCCTGGAGGCTGAGCCACAGGCATTGGGAAAGAGAGGTCAGGGCAGAGAGAGCATGGGTCTGCAGGAACAAATACCTGTAGGAAAAAGTCATTTTCCTGCCCTTCCACTTCCTTAGGGCAGTGGGGGTTTCTAGCCTAGGGAGGGAAAAGGTAAAGCCATAATTTCCAGTCTCCAAGTCTTCTTCTTGTTCATCTTCTTGGAAAGACTGGATAAAACTCAAACTTCTGTTTAAACTCAACACTGAGATAGAGAGTAAGCAATAAGTTATAAGTAAGAGTATGTAGCCTGATCCTAACTTCCTTTTTGGATATGAAATTTCTAGTTTACAAAGCAATTTCATTGTCTGGAAACCAAGGACATGGGCCAGATGTTTTATAAAGTTGTCATTAACAAGCTACACGATTCTCAGAATCTATCCAAATACTCCTCTTTCACCGGGCCCAGCAAAAAGCAGGATTGCCTCTACATGTTGGCTACATTAAATTAAAAAGGAATAGAAAATAAATGTATCAATTAACTAGACTACTTTGTAAAAAAAATAAATTGAAGCTCTGTATAGATGATCCTCTGTGGTAGGATGTCTGGTAATTATTTTGCTCTTAATTAGCCTTGTTGATGCTTGTCAATATGTTGAATGTTAATAGAATTGAAGTTTCAAATAGAATATCAGATTGAGAAAATGCATATTCAAGTCTGAGGTCACTCTCGCTGGACACTAAGTTGAGGAATGGCCAGGTAGGGTAGATTTCTTGCAGCTGTTCAAGAAAGATGGGAGACAAGTCAAGGAGAAAAGCAATGCCTATATGATTATAATACATTGCCTTTATTGTTCTAGAAGAATAAGCAGGAACTCTCTGCCTTCTAA